GTGAAGCGAAGCATTGCTTGGGTCTGCGAATAAGAAGAGATCGAGTCAAAGGTGAGTTGTCACTAGATCAAGAAACTTATGTCGAAGCAATGCAGGAGAAATTTCAAATGGTGAATTGTCATGGCGTGGCTACGCCGTTCGAACCAAGCCTAAGGGTGGACAAATCAATGTGACCAAAAACGAAGGAAGAATAAGACGAGATGAAGAATGTACCCTACAAAGAAGCCATCGGAAGTTTGATGTATTTGTCCCAGGTTATTAGACCCGACATCAGCTACGCAGTGAATGCTGTAAGTCAGTACAGTAGAAATCCAGGATCCAAGCACTGGGAGGCGGTCAAACAAATTTTCCGATACCTGCGAGGGACTGCTGGCCATCGATTTCGCTACACGAAGAATGGAAGTCCGGATATAGCTGGCTACACATATGCAGATTGGGGAGGAGACGTGGACACGAGGAAATCAACAACGGGCTACGTCTTCATAGTGCAAGGTGGCGCAATTTCCTGGAACGTGAAACCAACGGTTGCATTATCATCGTGCGAGGCAGAGTGCATGGCGATGTCCCGATCCATTCAAGAGGCATTATGGTGGCAAAGCATGCTCGAGTAGATTTTTGGTAAGCAAGAAATAAATGTCCTGTGCGACAATCAATCTGCGATTTGCGTTGCCAAAAACGGATCGTACAATCCACGAACGAAGCATGTATCATTTTGTGCACGATTCGCTGGTTAACGGAATGATTGAACTGAAGTACGTGAACACCAAGCAACAAGCTACCGACGGTTTTACCAAACCATTGGTGCACCAGAATTTAACGATTGTGAAGCAACAAATAGGCATCGAGGATTAGGAAGGAGTATTGGGATCAAAGTAATCCACGATTGTCATGATAATGAAAGGTTGAATACACTAGGGGTATTTTCGGAACGGGGACTACGCGTAGATGCCTAAAATCGATATTCGACGCCATTTTGGAATCCAAGATGGCGGCCATCGGGTTTCATAAAGTATCAAATACCCTACAAGATAGGTATCTTCGGAACGGGACGACGTGCAGATACCGAAAATCGATATCCAACTCCTTTTTGGAATCCAATATGGTGGCCATCGGGTTTAAGAAAAAGTGTCAAATACCCTAAGATCAGATCTGGGTATTTCCGGAACGGGAACGACGCGTATCATGCTTGGCATACACAGTTTTGGTCACGAACTGCTCATTTGCTAATAACTTTGCACACAGTTGATAAAACACAGTTCTGTTTGAAGCAGTAGATAGAATAAAGTTTAAGCTTGTTATAGGTACGTAAGAAAAAGTAGATTTTAATTCCAGTAATAAACTGAATTTGTTTTTGTGTTGCATCAATCAAGTGAAATCATCTAGAAAGAAAATCGGCTCAGTTTCTTGAAGAGTATAGTTCGGAGAATGGAATGAACTAGAATCTTTGAAAAATCTCAAAATTTGACAAAATGGCGGGCATTTGAAAAAAGTCATTTACCTAGTTACCGCCATTTTGTCAAATTTTGAGATTTTTCAAAGATTCTAGTTCATTCCATTCTCTGAACTATACTCTTCAAGAAACTGAGCCGATTTTCTTTCTAGGTGACGATTTGCGACCTCTAGGCTGCTCGCAGTTTTGGGAAGTACCCGCCGGGCAGCCACCATATTGGACGCCATTTTGGATTTTTGAACTTGAAAAAATTCCCAGTTGTAGAGCAAGAATGAATAAAGATTTGCCAAAAACTCAGGTCTCTAACTCTTACCAGTTCCCTGGAAAAAAAAATCCAAAGTTTAGGTCAATTGAACCGGAAATCCCCCTTAAAGAAAAATAAATGTCAACAACTGAGTGAAAAGTGATTAACAAATGAGCAGTTGGTGTGTACAACTGTACCTTCTAAAATCGGAAGCAACCATCTTGAATTTCAATATGGCGTCGGACATCGATTTCCGGCCTTTAGATGCCATTCCGATTCTAAAAATACACACATTGATCGGTATTTGACAGTATTTCACACTTTTTCTGAACCAAAACCGCCATCTTAGATTTTAAAATGGCGTCAAACATCTGGAATTCCGGAAATACTCATATTGATGGGTATTTGACAGTATTTCCCACTTTTTCTGTAACGAGAAGTCGCCATGTTAGATTTCAATTTGGCGTCTGACATCGGTTCTCAGATTTTCATTCTCTAGACATGATCCTGATTCAAAAAATATCTACATTTATGAATATTTGACAGTATTTCCCATTTTTTTTTTCTTAAACTAGAAGCCACCATCTTGCCCTGCGCTTTGGTCAGATAGTGCCTGAGTAAAATGCAAGTACTTTCGATGATTACCCGTAGTTGTTACAGTGAAGATATACACCCATATTCTCGGAACATTTTTATTTGATTTTGTGTGGTGGATGGGTTTCGGCCATGGACGGGCATATGGGTGATACTATTAAGTTTACGTTAGGATAATGTTGAAAAATTGAGAAATGTATCGCTTCAGTTTGAGAAGTACTTCACACGCCCCACATTACCGTGCAGGTGCCGTGTGTTGGCAGGGTCAGTTTGATGTTTATAAAGTACCATCAGTTAAAACTGTATTTTGGGCTTTATCTCTATACATTCTTAGGTGTTTCTTAGCAGATTATCGTGTTGGTGTACGCTGATTCAAAGAGTAAATGGTATTAACATTGAGCTGTCCACAGTTGGGTGTTGTTGAACTTGTGGTACTTGCACAACATTTCATGTGAGTACCAAAGTAACCATATAATCACAAATAACTTTAAATGTAGGTTCAGAGTGAGACAATGTCAATGAGATATGGTTAGTGGGGTATTCAGATGAAACTATTACTTTAAAAAACTAATCCTGGTTGTATCTCTTTTTCGTTTGCATGTATCACTGTTTGATATTACTAACCGCAGCGAGCCTTCATTTCGGGTGGTGAGCGAACCTGAAGAAGAAGAATATGACCATAAGCCCCTTTTCGGAACGAGTGTATTGTTGATGGACCTGGTCTACGATTCAAAGTTGAATTCTGTGAAGATGAGTATCGAAAGTGGTTCTGTTTATGTTTAAGGGGATCTGCTCGAAGAGAAGACAGAATGACTTTCAATTGAAAGTGATGGTTGACAGCTTCGTCGTCGTTTGACGATTTTCGATTGAAAATGACTTTGTTTTGGCCCTGATTGTTACTACTCCTAGACTAAGGCTGTGAACCATTTACCGAGTTAAATTTAACTCGGCGTTAAAAATGACATTTGGAAAGTTATAGTATTTCTTATGTTCAAAAATCCCTGTGTTACCGATCGATCGGTTTTCGAACAAAACTCAGCCACAGTTGTCAAAATTTAACTTCTTGTCTGTCAGAAATAACCACGCTCGGATAGCCGATAACTTTCCATCTGTCAAATTTTAACCAAAAGTTAAAAAATCCGCCAAATGTTTCAGAGCCTAAGTGAAATTTTCGTCAATATTTGGAGATTTTTCTTGGGAAAACAAGAGGCAAATTTACTCATCGCTGTGTTCCTGCACGTTTTGCGATCATGATTTAACTGAACACCTCACCAACCTTCATCAACGGATGAGTTTGGAAAAGGGAATACTCGATCCGATTCGTACCTTCCTCAAAATTGACCTTTTCTCGCTTTCTACTTTCTATATACAATTGTCACACTGCCGTGCTATAACGGAACTATCCACTCTATACTTTCATCTCCGTATAATCGTATAAAATGAGCATCTCCTCTAAATAATTTTTCAACACTTGATCAAACATAGCTCTGAAACATCTTCAACTGTTAAACAAATTAAATGACTTCTCCAGACAGCTGGTTGATCAGAATTATCATGTGAATTATTTGAAAGATATCCAGCTGAACATAAATTTCAATACAGTGCTTTGTCGCCCTTTTACCAATCGTTAACGGTCCGATTCGATATTTGCGCCACGATCACGGTCAAGTGTCTACCATCAATCGAAACGTTGTGGGTTTGTGGTTCTGTTTGCTTTGCTAAGGTATTATACCACTATTATACCACTATTGGAAGTTATGCTGAAAGTAGATACTACCTAGGACCATGCTCTTGGAGGTGGCGATCTCGATGAGTCCGAGGCCGTTGTTGTTTGTATTAACCTGGTGCTCGCTGTACTTTCCAATAACCGGTCCGAATTCCTTCTTTTAGCTAAATTGAGCATTAAAATCTTTGATAACGATTTTAATGTGCGGACCTGGGCAGCTGCTGTATTTTTGTAACAAGCGTTTTTATCATCTTCGATACCTCCTTGATAAGGGCTGAGTAGGTGGTATAGCTAAACTTATACAGATGATTAAAATTCTTCAAAGAAGTTGATTCCATAAATAAACGAGGAAGTTCAACATATGATGCAGAGTTGTTTAAAATTTACCGGACAATAATGATTTCCCACAGAAATAGGTCCGAAAACCACACATTTTGAGTCGACAGTCAAAACAACAAGTCTAAAACATTCCCCGCAACGCAAAACGCAAACACTGTGGACCAAACATTTGAAGAAAAAAAAGCACCTACATCTACGAACAGTGCGGTACGCTACTGCTACTTGCACGCAGCCACCGCCGTTTCGGTTGTCACCGGAGTCGGCCGCTTTGTACCGCTACTTCTACTGTGCCGTCGGGGGCTTCCGCCGTTTGTCACCGATCGCGACGGTTCTACAATTTTCCTAACGCCACTTCCGCTCGCACTGCCACCAAGCCAATAGAATCTACGCGCCGCGCTCAACGATCCCACCATGAGTCGCTTCTTGAAATGGCGCTTTCGCTATACGGGGACACGAGATTAGGCACGCGACACAAAATCAAAGTTCCGGAAAAGCAGCAACAAAGCATGGTGGTAAGCAGAAAGTCAAAGTTTAATAATCAGTGAAGGGACGAAAACCCACGCGAATAAGTGCTCAAGGGGTGAAAACTAGATTGTTTCTGATCCAAAACTACTGATTTACTCTGGAACGGAGTTCCTCTCGCTTACCTTTGCCTTCAGGGCGAAGTAGTCGATATTGTGGTTGGGTCGTCGCTTCTCCTTGGTGTGCAGATGTTCCTCGCGTTCTGCCAAACGCTGCTGCAGGATTCGGACCGTTTCGTGGCATGCGACCAGCTCCCGTTCGTGGGCTGCCTGCAGGGTTTTCAGCTGAATAGGGGGAACGTAAATCGTGTGTAAAAAAAAATATCTGAGCTACTTACATCCTGAAGTCTCTTGTCATGCAACGTCTTGTAGTCCGCCTCCAACAGTTTGATCTTCAAGTGTGCATCCTTCAAAGCACTGGCGTCGGATGCCAAACCGTCGGCATAATGAGCAGGATCGTACGTCTTACCTTTTCCCGTGGATGAAGCCGAAGACGAAGTACCGGACCGGCCCTCCGGTTTCAGGGAGGTATCCCGTTCCTTCTGTAGCTTCTTGATCGTCTTTTTGCAGTCTTCTACCTCCCGGGTCAATCGCTGAACGGCTTTCTCCTTGATGGCCAAGTCCACACGCATTCCCCGAATGGTCGCCAACAGGTGGGCATCCTCCCGGCTCTGAATCTGCGAATCGGACAACGAATTGGGAATCTTTCCACTGGCACTGGCCGACGACGCTCGCTTTGGACCGGCCGATTGGTTCCGTCCCGCACCCGTTCCGGTCAGCCTGCTATCGGTCTGCACTGAAATGGACCTAGTTTTAATACACTCCTTGTCGGGAAATTCTTCGGTTTGCGTAAAGCTGCTGCTGGTAGCGTTGGCGGTTGCGTTAACCTTCGAAAACGAAGCCGCCGCATGGCTGGTGATGCTCGACAGTTCGTCAATTTGCCGGATAATTTTTTCGTTCAGCTTGCCGTTGATATCCTGCAAACTAAGCACCTGCATCTCCAGATCGGCAATGTGAGTCTCGTACTTGGACTGCACTGAGTTGAAGCGAGCCTGCACGTTGGCCAAGATACTTTGCGCCTTGGCGTCCTGCTCCTTGGCGTCCGCTTCCAGCTGGGCAATGCGCTGCTCTAGTAGACGGCGTGTCTGCGAGCTTTCCTCCGTTGGTTTGCTGTTGGTGTTTTTACTGGCAACTGAAAATGAAGAAAATTATGTACTGTGAAACAGTTTCGAAATCTTCTGTCGTGGGATTATGCCATACCGATCAAAGCCGACACCGAGTCCGGATGTTTTCTCATCAGTATCCGTTCCATCTCACGACACTGCCGCTGCAGGTCCTGAATGGTTTTGGTGTCCTTCTCGTTAAGCTCCTGGTAGCGTTTCTTCTCTCGGCGGGACTCCTCCAGCTCGGACTGCAGAATCTTCTGCAGTTCCAGTGCCGCATCGCGGTCACTTCGAGCCGACTGCAGCTCAGATCTGAAAAAGAACCACAATCAATTCAAATAGTATTGGTAAAAATCAATCTAAACCATTCCCTAACATTACACAGTTACCTCAAAACGTTGGCACACTCGGTCAGATGCTGAACATCCAGCTTCAGCTTGTCACTTTCCTCCTGGATGGCACCGTGGTTCTCTCTCAGCGCCCGATGCACGTGCGACAGCGTATCGTACTGAATCTTCAAGCTCTCGTACCGCTCCTCGGTATCCTTGAGCTTCTCCTCCAGCTCGGTTATGCTTCCTTCCAGTTCCCGTTCCTTGGCCCAGCTGACGAGCGAATCCGGAGCGGTTCGCGTCGGCGATGGAGCCGTCGACTTGTCGCAGAATGTCTTCTCCCGGACCAACGTCGATGCCGGAGAGGGACTCTTCTTCTCCCGGGATCCCTCGTTCAACGTCAGATTGTAGATTTCCTCCAAATCTCTAATCCGCGATTGACTCAACAGCAGTTGGTTCTCTTTGTCCGCTTCGATGGAACGGCGGGGAAACTGCGAGTGTGTTGGCGTTGCGGATGAAGCCCTGCTGATGCTGTTCCGTTTCTTCGGTGTTGAGGATTTAGCCGGAGTCGAGGAAGCACCGCTCGACGATGTCTTGCCGGTGGTGCTCTTTTTGGTGCGCATTTCTGTACTGGTTGTCTGCGTTGGGGTCGGAACAGTGTAGGTCTGATCGGAATACGGACGCTGGCCGCACTGACTGTCCGGTTCTTCGCCGGCCGTGCTGATGGTGAAGCTTTTACGCCGGATCAAGTCCTTTGCTGGAGGTTCGTGTTCCTCGTGGTGGAAGATTTGCTGGAAAGAGACATTTTGAAGAAATTAGTGTTAAGATGTTTAGGTATATAAATTACATCCTGATAGTACAGTGCACCGAAGACACCAAAACGATTTAAAGTAAAACCGTAGTTTTTAAACTAGCACGACTATTATTCTGAAGACCAAAAATTCATACGAAGTCCTTCAGGTATTCTTTGATCAGGAATTATTTTGGAGATTTTCAGACCAAATAATATTCTCTCATTATAGTACGTTGGCGAGGAATTACTCTGATGACCTTCGGAGCATCGGATATTCCCTCAACGCATTAGATTGATTAAGAAATTATTATGAAGATATGCGAATATTCTCTCATTATATAAGCTTGATCAGGAATTATTCTAAAGATAAACTACGGATCTGAAATTCACTCGAAGTCCTTCTGATATCCCTTCATTGTATTAGAATTTTTAGGAATTATTTTGAAAACCTACTGTCCTTCAGATATTCTCTATATTAAGGGCCAGCTAGTCACTATTATGTCCAGTCAGTTCTACGTGTTAATCAAATGGAAGTGGGCCATAATTGTGGGTGACCCATAACCCAAGCAGCACACTTCCATGGAAATAAGTTGCAGCAACTTGATTGTGACTGGAATAAGTTGCGCACAAGTAACCACAATTGTTCAGTGACAAGTGTGCTGCTAGGGAATACTGGGGTGACTGTATATGAGGTTGATCAGGAATTAGTTTGAAGACGTACAACCGATCAAACAAAGTCTTTCAGATATCCAACGTATATCGGGTTAATGAGGAATTATAATGACGAATGGTAGGGGAAACGCTCCTATAGTTGCGGTACGTTAGGTTCCTATAGTTGTGCATGGAGACTCAGTACGCAACTATAGGACTCTAACGCTTCTAACGTACCGCAACTATAGGAGCATTTACCCTATAACATTGAACAATCCTACCTCTCTGATTTCAGGAATGGTTTTGGAGACCTTTAGAACTTCAAATATTATCTCATTAGGCGAAACTGGAAGTCGAACTGAAGCAGGAAGTGTTCTAGTTACGAGATGACCGCTGTTTCTATGCACCGCCAATGTAGAGTGCGCTAGGCGATTATAAGAGGAAACGTCAACCAAACCGTTTGTTTACATCAAAATTACATTTTTTTACATTTAAAATTAACGCATATTGTTATGCGTATCTTGCATATTTCTATCGGGAGGGGTCTTATTTAATAATTTTTCACATATTTGAACGGATTTACAGCTCAAATAACACCACATTAGAAATCCGGAACATCATAACCGCTGGGGTAGTTTCATAAATCTCATAAATCTTCACTTTTCTTAACAAAAATATGTGGAAGCACCAGCCGGATCACTGCAAAATCGATACAGAAAACAAAATATTCCATGTGGATGATGATTACAAGCACCTGCGATGGATAAATTAATCAGAAAAGGTAAAAACATTTTCCTCTTCCTATGCTTCACGGCGAAAATTTCAGCCATCATCACTCTTTTGATGGTTCCCATATTCACCACCAGAGACTGAAACGATCGCTTCGTTTCTATTCACGGCGAATAAGAACAATTCAAATTTGAGTTTAGTTCACTCATAATCGCCAAAAGTGCAGGAACTCAGCGATGAGTAAAATTTATCTCATGTTTACCCAGGTTTTTCAAGGATTTTCCAGGGAAAAATTCACGAATTTGAGAAAAGTAATGATTGGATTCACTCAGTCTATTGGTACTTCTCCGAGACTGTTCGTCGGTCTCTGTTCCGCAATCTAGTGCCAATCACCGACGGACATCGATTGCCATCCATTGACGGCAATCGAATGTGCAGGAAGGCAGCTTCCACACCTGCGTAGGATATCGCACCCATTCAACACACATGGGCCGGGACCAACGGCTTTACTTCCCTTCCGAAGGAAGACGTGACCAGAGATTTTTATGCCTCAGGAAAATCCCACCGACCTCGGCTGGGATTGAACCCCGTGACTGCTTTCTAACAGACCCATTGGGGTGTTAGAAAGCAGTCACGCTTACCACTACACCACCAGCGCCGGCCTGAGTAAGCCTAATTGTCGGACTGAAAACTAGTTAGAACCAAATCGACTTCGGTTAGGCATCTTGATGTCATTTGTGACAACTGTCAAACTTTCCGTTTTCGTTCCGCTTCCGCCCATATTGCGCTTGGGCCTTTACAATTACAGTATCGTCCAAGATGCGGCGGATGCAGCAGAAGCTTGGAAAACGCTAGCGACAGCATTTCAAGATACCAGATTACTACGAGCGGATGATTATGGGGCTGAAGGCCTCAGAGAGCGAAAGGTATGTCGGATGCGGTGTAGGCAAAGATCCTGCTAGATGTGAATCACGAAAGGGAACCTACAAGTGGCAGTGACGATGGAGCATTCTACACGCGAGGTGCGAATTCAAACAAATTCAAGGCGCAGATCAAATGTCCAGATAAGTTTGCAAGCAAGACAAAATTGAAGTCGGCAGCCAGAAGACAGCATTTTTGCGATTGGTGATGTTCAAGCTGAAGCGTGGTATTTTGATTCGGGAGCGGCGTGTCATATGGCCAGAGCAAATCAGAACTTCGTTGATGAAACGGCATTGCAACACGCGGTAGGAACTGCCAACAATGGAAGCATGAAGGTTTTGGCAAGAGGCGACTAATCTGCTATCGGAGGCTACACTGCGGACGGTGAACTGGTCGTTTCTGGCAAGGAAGAAAGCGGCCTGTACCAAGTCGATCAGTTGGAGAAGACGTTTCAGGCAAGTGGAATTCAGCTGTGGCCAGTCTTGTAAGCGGTCCCGGTAGTCGACACATTTTCTGTGATAATTGACTGCCTTTGCCTCCGACACTTGCAAAACAAGCTATCATAGTACAGTACCAAACTAAAATGTAATATGACAGACTCTGTCATACGATACTGTCGCCGAAGACCGTCACGTAGGTATGTATTTTAGTTTTTCTCATATTAAGAGCTGCTGATGTTGTACTTGTGTGAATTCTGAAAACAGCAAGTAATGATGTCCTAGAAATAATATTTCTGATCAGAAATGGTTTGATTTACACCAAATTGAGGAATTACAACGAAATCACACATGTCATATGATAGCTATTTTGATAATTTTCTTTTAGCTCGAATGTTATTCTACCGCTCGTGTTGCGTGAGAGAGCAACGGTAGAGCATGAGTGTTCGAATACAAACAGACTGTCGCGCACGACAACGAAGTGAGTGTAGTAAAAAAAGTCAACTGTTTCAACTCCTGGCTGTGGCACAGAAGGATGGGCTACCTGAACGAGACAAGCTTGAATCAGCTCAAGCACGTGTTCAAATGGTATAAATTTTCAAGGTGAAATGGTGAAGAATTGCCAAGTATGTCTGGCAGGAAAACAAGCTCGAAAACCGTTTTTGAATAGTGATTCCAGGGCATCAGAACTGCTGAAGCTGGTAGTGAGCTTATTTGCTAGCAGCTAGCTTATTAGCGCTAGTGAAATAGCATAAGTGTAAACACCCCATGAAGGCCAAAAGCGAAGCACTGGATGCGTTCAAATTGTTCCGAGCAAAGGCAGAACGTCAGACAGGTAAACAACTCAAAATACTCAGGACAGATAACGGACGAGAGTATATTTGCGCCATCAGAAGACCTGCCCGCTTTTGAAGATGCCTGCAGCACCCACGCGTTCCCATCGCAACTCAAACAAGACCAGTTGAAGAAAGTCAACAAGGGTTGAGGCGCAGCGATCGGAAGCGCACTTGTCCACGCAAGTATGGTGATGTGATTTCCTCTCAGCCATCTGCTTCATCGAAGATTGATATGCTTGTGGAGGACGTTCCACAGAGCTACGACGAGGTCATGCGGCGACCAGATCGTAAGTGCTGGATCGATACAATGAAGGAAGAGATGGCGTCATTGAGTGAAAACCGGACGTGGACGATGACGAATCTACTCAAGGGACGCAAAGCCAAAGCGCGGCTTGTCGTTAAGGGCTGTTCACAGAGTTGACTACGAAGAAGTCTATGCTCCAGTGGTGCGGTATTCGACCATTCCGTATCTGATGACGGTGGCGACGAAATTTGACTTGTATGTGGGCCAAATGGACGTGGTTACCGCATTTCTGCAAGTCGAGCATGGACAATGGAGGGATTCGCGGTTTCAAACGGCAAGGTTTGCAGTTGCAGAAGGCACTATACGGCTTGAAGTAATTGAGCCGGGTGTGGAATGCAAAGCTGGATGAAGTACTGCGAGAATTTGGCCTGCAACGATCACTGGTAGACACATGCTTATACTGGATGCTGGACGTAGATAAGATGCTTTTCGTGACAATATAAGTAGACGACTTACTTATTTTCACGCTGAAGAGAACACGAGAAAAACGCGATATCCGCGCCTTAAAAATACTTATGCAATTTGTATGAAAGTGAGCTGTCAATTTGTTGATTAAGTGTCAAACAAAAATTGATTTAAATCCTGATTTAAAAATCGAGATGGAAGTCTATGGTATCGAAAAAAATATCATTGTGCTAAAAAAACGAAGCGCTTCTAGATGATCTATAGTGACCGATGTATTTTTCCAAATTATAAAACCCAATTGTGGTAAATTTTTAAAAAGTTTGGAAATTCAAAACAAGCTGTAAATAATTTAAAACAAAAAAAATGATAAAAGTTGTGATCGATTCCGAAAAAAATGTGAGACTTACCTCGTGCTACAACGTGTAGAATCGGAACCTACCTAACTAATAACTCAAGAATTGAGTAAATTAAGAAGGAAACTCTAACCAACTCTTTAACCCTTCGTCTGTGCCAAAAAAAAACTTACGTTATCTGTACCTTGGGGTCAATTTGACCCGAAATCCAAATTGTCATATCTCAGCGAAGCTTCAGCATGAGGCAAATTTACTTTTCGCTGAGTTCCTGCACTTTATGTGATTTATGAGTAAACTAAACTCAAATTTGGGTTGTTCTCATTGGCCGTACAGCTTTTCACGATCGAGCGCCATAAAATTGG